AAATCGGTGAACATCATCGGCTGTTCTTTAAATCGGTGAACATCATCTGCTGTTCTTTAAATCGGTGAACATCTTTGGCTGTCCTTTAAATAAAACTGTTCAGATCCAGCCGGCTCACTGAGGAAGTTAAAGTTTGTAAAATTAAGTTTCTGCACAAACGTTTGTATAAATTGGATCAAAGTGTTGTCTGAACTAATTTAACAGCAGTTTATGAGAAGTTATAATTTTAATATTTTTCTAACTAATTCATAATTTTTCCAGATATGCCACCCATGATGAAGGGGGAATCAGGCCCTCAAGGAAAGCCTGGACCAAGAGGACCCCCTGGGCCACCAGGACTTCCAGGAAAACCTGGACTAGGAAATCCAGGTCTTAATGGACAGCCAGGTCCTCAGGGGCCTCCTGGCCTCACAGGAATTGGTAAGCCTGGACTTCCAGGTCTTCCAGGAAAAATTGGACCAAAGGGGATTCCAGGACTTAACGGCGAGGTTGGGCCTCGTGGTGAGGCAGGCTCCCGTGGACCTCCTGGGCCACCTGGCCTCCCTGGCCCAGCTGGTTTATCTCTAAATGGAAAGCCTGGACTTCCAGGTGTCAGAGGTACCCCTGGGACTCGTGGTGAACCAGGAATAAAAGGCATTCCTGGCACACCAGGAGAACGTGGACTTAAAGGTGAAAATGGAAATGGAAAACCCGGGCCTACAGGTTTAAGAGGTCCTCCAGGTTTGAAAGGCAGTACAGGACCCCCTGGTTTATCAGGCATTGGTAAACCAGGACTGAAGGGTTTGCCTGGACCACCTGGTCTTAAAGGTGATCAAGGAATACCGGGAGATCTAGGAGAACCAGGAGAACCAGGGCCACAAGGTTTACAAGGTTTGCCAGGACCAACTGGGATAGGCAAACCTGGTCTCGATGGACTTCCAGGATTACCAGGTCCAGTGGGTCCAAAAGGTGAATCAGGGCTCCGGGGAAATCCTGGAATGCCTGGGACACCAGGCTATGGAAAACCTGGTCAGACTGGGCCTCAAGGAGAAAAAGGTCACAGTGGCGTTCCTGGTCTCCCAGGGGACAAAGGAGAAAAAGGACTGATGGGCCCAGGTGGGCCACAAGGTCTTGATGGACTACCAGGACCGCCAGGTATTCAAGGTCCAAAAGGGCTCCCAGGAAACCATGGAATGCCAGGGCTGAAAGGAGATATAGGACCCCAGGGACCCCCAGGATTACCTGGATTTCAAGGGGACCAAGGACCCAGTGGTATCCCTGGTAAACCTGGTACCCCTGGTGAAAAAGGCATTCCTGGACCTAATGGTCCAATTGGAAAGCCTGGTCCCAAAGGTGAGCCAGGATTTATTGGCCAGCCTGGCAATCCAGGGCTGACCGGTGGTCCAGGACCTAAAGGGGAGGCTGGCTTCATGGGAACCCCAGGCCCCAGGGGTCAGTCAGGCATTCCTGGTCTCCAGGGGCCCATGGGTCCTATGGGCCCACAGGGTGTCCCTGGAACAAGGGGTGAACCTGGACTTCCAGGGCCTTCAGGGCTGGGGAAAGTGGGTGAGAAGGGAGGTATGGGTCCCCAAGGTCCTCCAGGGAAACCAGGGCCTGCTGGGCTTAATGGACACCCTGGCCTGCCTGGTCCTCCAGGACCTCCTGGTCCTCCAGGAAACGGTCAAACTGTTGTTGCGGGGCCCACGGATACAGGGCTAGGTGGGGAGGAAATACCAGGCAGGAAGCCTGCATTCACTCAAGTCCCACTCTCTGCCTCTCTGGCTCCAGCCTTCACAGCCATCCTCAGCACCCCGTTCCCTCCCTCCGGTATGCCGATCAAATTCGACAGGACTCTATACAACGGGCAAAATGCATACAGCTCTTCCACTGGCATGTTCACAGCTCCTGTGTCAGGCGTCTACTACTTCGCTTACCACATGCACGTAAAGGGAACCAGCTTGTGGGTGGCTTTATACAAGAACAATGTACCTGCCACGTATACCTATGATGAATACAAGAAAGGCTACATGGATCAAGCATCAGGTAGTGCTGTCCTAGAGCTGAAGGAAGGTGACGAGGTATGGGTCCAAATGCCCTCAGATCAAGCAAACGGCCTTTATTCTACCGAATACATCCACTCCTCTTTTTCAGGATTCCTGCTTTGTCCCACATAACATTATCCTGTCCTTAAAGCGTATTCTTGCAATAGTGCATCAGAGCTGCCCCTAAACCTAATGTAACTGCAGCCATAAAAGAAACACAAAACCAGTAACTTTTTCCGATCATTATCATCGACCCATCTTTCTCACCATCAACAATATCATCAAAAAGAAAAGAACAACTTTGTGAATAAAATATGAAACGTTTTAAAAAGGCAGGGGAAGGATTTGTCTTGCTGTGTTCCTTATTTTAATGTCCATCAAATGTGTGTTTGTTTTTTTGTTTAACCTTTTTTTTTTTTTTAGCTTAGAATGTTTTAATTGTTTTATTCTGATGTTCTGTTGTTGTTTGATCTTTAATGATGCTTTTGTCCATTGGATTCAGCATTCTAAGTGCCTGGCCTCGTAATGTGACTGCACACGCTGCCCATATGCTCGGACAACAAGGTGGACATGACCAAACCTTGGAGGGGGGTTTTGGGTTCCCTGGCTGCAGTCACTAAATGTGTTATTTAAATCTTTAACACCAGTACCTGCATAAAGAGCAACACTTTAACACAAGAAACGGAGACAAATGAAGTAACAAACGAGGCGTGTCGTGTTCTGATACCATTACTTTGTCCCCTTTATTATCTTTATCATCTTTGTTTGATTCGTCTGGTGCTCTGAACAACAGTGAAATGGAATTTATAGCTGAGTTACGTGGTCACTTTAGAGTTTCTTTTTACAATAAGTTGACATACACACGAGAACACCCAAGCTCCTTGATGAAAGTTTGGACCTTCAAAACCCTGAATATTTTATTTAATAATGAAACCAAATACAATCTCAACCGTCCTGATAAACAGGGCTCTGTGCGCACGCCTGTTCCTTTTGTTTTACTTTCAAAACCACGTAGGTTATTCATAGAGTCAACGCACGTAATAAAAGCAACGGCAAGTAGATAAGGTCATATATATATATATATGTGTGTGTGTGTGTGT